GCTGGTGATCTGAATGGCCATGTGGGAAGTGACAGAAAGGGTCTAGAAAGGGTGCACGTAGGTAGAGGAATAGGAGCTGAGGGAGAATGGATCCTTGACCCAGCCAGAGCCCATGACTTAGCAACCTGCAGCCCTTTTTCGCAGAAAAAAGACACAGAAGATAACCTGCAGCAGTGGAGGGGGACAAACGGAATTCGACCATGTATAGGAGAGAAGATCGTCTCTAAAAACCATCAAGCATATGGCGGTGCTACCTGGAGAAACGTTGGGACCTCAGCACTGGCCTTTCCTGGCAGACATCGCCACAGACCTCCTCAAGAAAACGAGGGTAAGAACCGAGCAGAGAATTCGGTGATGGAAAAAACACAAGGTAGGAAAGGGTAACCGAGGAATACTGGAGGCTGGGCTCCCAGACCCACACGGGTCGGTCCTGGACACCTGGACCCACATCCCATAAAGTGCAAAGGAAGTGCTGGAGGAGACGCGAGGTGGAATCAGAGGAGGTAGGGCAGCTTGGTTCTGGAACGAGGAAGTCATCGTTGAGCAGAAGAAGAAAGCCTGCAAACGCTAGCAAAAGACAAGGAGCCCAGAAGACTCCACTGCCTACAAAAGCTGCAAGCGGATCGCTAAGGCAGCCGTTGCTAAGGCCAAGAATACGGAAATAGGAGAAGCTGGAGGGCCGAGGAGGAGATAAGTTTGCCTTCCGCCTGGCTAAGGCCCGGCATCGCACTGTTTAGGACATCACGGTGGTATGGGGGCCATTCTCAGGAAACAGCCGAAGTCAGGAAGATGTGGGAAGAATACTTCGAGGGACTCCTGAACGAAGAATTCCCTTGCGAGGATAGCCCACCGATAGGGGGGGGGGCGGCGGCAGGTCCTACCGCTCCTTGGACAGAAGATGAAGTCCGCCGAGAGCTAGGAACGATGAGGGTTGGGAAGGCAGTGGGTCCAGACGGGGTACCGGTAGAGGCATGGAAGGCCCTTGGAGAGTACGGGGTGAGTTGGCTCACACACTTCCTAAGCAACGTTGCGGCCGAAGGAAGTATGCTGGATGCGTGGAGGAGCAGCACAATCGCACCACTCTTCAAACAGAAAGGTGCGACGGAGTGCTCCGACTACTGCGGCATCAAATTGACTCCCGATACCATGAAGCTGTACGAATGCCTGGTCAACACAAGGCTGAGAGAACTTACCCCTGTCTCGCAGGAACAGTTGACTTTATGTCTAGAAGTCCACCATTGATGTAGCAGCTCAGGGATGGGGGAAAAAGTGGAATAAGGTTAATAAGGGGTTGGCAGACTAATCAGGGAAGACACACTCGGAATGGGCGGGGCATACTTGAGATGGGTGGTGTTTTCCAAGTTCAGTAATTCGGTCAAATGGCGAGAGTTGGGCATGCCAGCGATTTGTTGAGACCCGCCCACAGTGGGCGTGCCCTCGGTCATAGGGTACTCATTTCAGAAAACTGAAGCTCGGTTCCAGAGCACTCAAGACCGGAAAGAAGTAAATCAAGGCCAGCGAGCACTGGCCGGCTGAGAAATGTGGCACACAGACACTGGGGGCGGGGCTTGCTCGAGCTGGGTGGGGCCAGACGAAAAGATCTGCTACGGTTTCAAAGCACTCCGAACGCTCGAAAGAAGTAGATAAAAGGCATACGGCACAATAATTTGGTACTCGATCTAAAATGCTAGCAGGGTCCTATATAGTGGGGAAGATGGCTAAAAAACGAAGCGAAACGGTCAGAAACCTGCAAAAAAAGCCTTCGTTATTGACGACTCAGAGAGCAATTTCGAAGTTTTCCATAGGTATCTTGCATAACCAAAGGTAGTGCGGCTGCACGTACACATCCACTCACGCATCCATGCATTACCAAGCCTGCATCATATCAATGCCTTCGCTTCATATATTACTTACCAGGGAAAGCCAACAGTCAGTCCGGCCATTTGCAATATGATGCACACCGAAGTACACGTCTTGGGACGCTGAGCTCAAATTTTTCGTTGAAATTTGCTGAGCGACTATCGGAACAGAGTTATGGAGGGTTTTCTCCCGCCTATTGTTCCACATGTTATCTCATGGAATTGCGGAAGCGTCTTTAAATAAGTGAGGAGAAGACAAGAAACGTGGTAGTGGGGCGCAGAAGATAGTGATCGGGTGTGATGAGGAAGCGGTCACGGGATCAGTCCCCATGTGTTTACAGCTTTTTGCATTTTCTAGGAACATGGCCAGATAAGCTTGAACATCCCTGCTCGTCCGTTCTCGCCTGTAAGAGGACCTGCAATCGTTTCTTATCAGTGTATTGTACCCCCTTCGGTGGACTCAAAGGGTGCTTGTACTTGTACCAGTCGTAGCACATGTTACAAGGGTTTTGCACTGAATAAGTGCGATATTCATGTTCGGCGGGACAAATTACCCTTGAACACACGTTTCAGCCAAAGCTGAGACTTTGATTCAACTTCGGAACGTGAGGTATTCTACGAGTTATATGTAAACAGACTGGAGCATACCTATCACCGATGACTATTCTTATTAGGGTGAAGTTCCCCCCCCCCTTCTATTGAGAAAATGAAAATGTCACCACGTGAGCCATATACTGTTCTTTATGGAAATGCATGGCCAACGAGTTGATTCAGCATGATGCCAGTTATCGGTGGTAGGTTAGACCTATTCTCAATACTTAGACGTGACTGACCTAACCACACACTTTTTGGGGTTGAGTAAAAATCTCAGATTTTGCTGGAGCACCGTGCCTAGGGTTGTTTGACTCCATGAACACGAAAATAACACCCGTTTTGCGCGAAAATGTTTACGCCACGCGCTGCAGACCCTGACTGCTTGCATAGCAGTGCGCCTTTGAGAGAAAAGAGAGAGAGAAAAAAAAATCCATAATTCCTTTCAGTGAATCGTTCAGCAAATTCCAGAGGTAGATTTGTGTATACCATGTGAAGGGACGTACAACGGTGTACACCGCATTGCAAATGGCCGGACTAACCTGTTGTCCTTCCTTGGTTTGCAAATGGAGAATTACGAGCATCAGGTCGTCCACTTTGGACGGGCGGGCGCGGTGGGCGTCTAGATGGCAGCTTGATAGGCCCTTATAAGGGTATCCTATTATTTGAACAAGGCGCTACGCAGCGCCTGCTTAGGGGCGCGGAGTTCCGTCCTACCAGGCGTATTTATCCTATTCGTCTTGGGGATTCATCGTGGCAACTGCCTCTGAGGTCAGCGAGGGGTACTCGGCCGAGAAATGTAGAACACACACGTTGTGGGCGGGGCCTGCGTCGAGGAGGGTGGGCCAGACGAACAGATCTGCGAAACGTCCTGGGGCACTCCAGAGACCGGTTAGCAGGGGAATTATGGTGCAGTGGCACACACGTAGTGGGCGGAGCCGGAAAAGAGGTGGGCGAAACTGAAAAGTAGAATCGTGAGTCGGTTCCAGAGCACCCCACAGACGGGGGAACAAGTGTGCATGAGATTGGCTATTGAAATTGGAGAGACGCCCTGGCGTGAGAAGCATGGGCCAGGGTGGGGTAGGGATGAAAAGGAAAAATTAGGAATTGGTTGCAGAGCAGCATAGGCTGAGTGAGGTCATCCAAGGGTTAGTGGACAACTGGTGAAACATCCTCAAAATGGACGGGCAGTAATTGAGACGGGCGGTGCTTGCTACAAAATTTCATAACTTGGTCTTGAGAGATTTTGGAAATGGGAAAAATCGTTGGAGAGGCGCAACATCTGGCAAGAGTTGTGCGAATTGTGGTGTGCTGACAAGGGAGGTGTTTCGAGTCATGGCGGGCTTTTTGGAATTGGTTTGTTGCTTGTTGTAGGGGTCTATACAAGGGTCACAAAAATGGGTTTCATTTTTGCTATTTTCTGTGTAGGTCAAACTGAGTGAAAAGAATCTGACAAAAATGGGCGGTTTTAACAACCTTGATGGGCTCCTTCCTGCTTGTAACTTCGAGCATGCATAGCTTATGAGGTGGTCACTAATTGGGCCTCAAAATAGATCCGATTAAGGTCAAAATGTAAGTATCATGTGGTAACACACTTGCACGCATCGACGCAAGGGTGATGTTTTTGTCAGCGAACCCTTCACGACTACGGCCAACGGATCGGATGGCGCAGTGGATAACACGACTGGTTCTGGATGGCAGGGCAAGGAAAGACTTTGTGGATCGGGTCCTCAGGGAAATGTTTTGCATTTTCCAGTTTTCCATTCATTCGCGTGCCTGTGTGTCTGGCAGTGGAAATAAGTCAAGTATACGCCATTTGGAGGCATATACTTGTGGCCACGTTGTGGCCTGAAAGCGTGTTTGTGCTGCCCCTCGTAGCTCATGTCAGAAGGGTTATTGCAATGAAATACCATCACATTTATGTTCAGCGGGTTGGATTACCCCTGGGGACTAATTAACCAAATCTCACGTTTCGACCTAACTCGGAAAATGTGGGCCATTCTATGGGCAATTAGCAGCAGGCGGGGGTCACTGGGCAACCGTCGTATTCAGTATCATACATATGTGCATTTCGGGTAGTGTATATATGTTCATTCCAGCGCAGAACCCTGAGATTGCTGCACTGAAAACAATGGAACCTTTTCAGGTTTTAGCAAAAAACTGAAATGAACAGGGATAAGGAATGTGTTGTCTACATTTAAGAATTCGCGATCTTTGCCAATCTGCATTGATTTTCATATATGTGAGGTCGAAGTCAGGTATGGAGGTGATTCACTGTAAGCACAATTACCAAGTGGGTGGTTGATCTGACGTCATCGCCGCTGGTCTCAACGTAAGTCGAGTCCTTTTACCGATCAATACCGTTAAGCGGTTTTCTAGGACCTCGAAATAGTCCTCCGCTTTTGTTAAGGCATTTGAGTGGACAGATCCTAATCGTTTTGACTCCTTCAGGCCCTCACAAGAGCGAAAAAGCCGGAGTAGGCCAAATGCGCTGCAAAAAATCGTGGGTTCACAATAATCACTCGTTTGATATGCATAACTACCGACAAATCAACACACCATTACTGGTCTACAAAGTGACGTGAGGTGACACTGACTCATGGATAATGCGAATGGAGATAGTTCCAACAGATAAGCTTTCCAATATTGCATACGTGGTACAAATACTATAGAACCGCAAAAACATACGTTCTCTATAGCTATACTTGCTCGATGCTGCATGGTACAACATGAGGATTTGTCCAAAGCTAGGCGACAGATAGCGTAAATAAGAATGGAACGGTCCACCGCAGATTGTGAGCGTAGATCGAATACAGACAGCAACTCAAGTACGCGACATATCTTAATAAAAGTATAAGAGAAAAAGATACGCAAGCGAAAAGATATTTTGCTCTCATCGGCATGAAGAGTCCAGCAAACACTCTTTACCTGAAAAATGGCTAAATCAACTCGATCATCCTGAGGAACAGTGCTAAGGTCCTCCTGTTTGAGCCGCTCGTGTATGTAACGATCAGCATGAGGAAAAACTTCCCCTCTAGGCACGAGTTCACTCACCGAACACTGCGCAGCATGTGCTAGCCAAGCAATGCACTAAAAAAGCAAATAGCTTGATGAACAGGAGCGGAAATCATACATCAATTCGAAGTCTCTGAACTGGAAAAAACTGACAACATGCACCGAAGGACCAATTCCAATGTACTTCGATAAAATATTCCGTCTAGCTCGAACAACACTCCTCAGTGTCCTCTCGAAAATGTCTAACGTAATAAAAATGACATACTGCAGTGAAATACAACATCGACTACTTGTAAGCGAAGTATGAGCACCTGATAGTGGGAAGGCTTTTGATGCCATCAGTATCAAATCTACAGAGCAAACGTCTCCTTTGATCGAAGCTTTATCTTCCGACAATTGGACAGCATGATCTGCAACCATCTATGGAACTCAAACGCTTTTCTTCTGCTAAACAATTAAGGTAAATTGAAAAATACCACTACTGAGTCGTCTTAACAGTCGTTTCAGACAGATTTGACGTAGGTTCTGCAAATCGAAATGACCGTCAGAGCGATGCTGAGTATAAAAACCCACAAATTTCCAAGTTTCACGGGCACTATTGGACCGTCGTGTTCCATTATTACTTTCTAATGTGGATCAACTTATGGGATGAGCTGGCTACTTGTCATATTTTTCTCCTGTCTTCTGTACATAGCTCACTTCGTCCAGTCAGCAGTGAGGATTTCCTAGATTCAGTGCCAAGTTATAAGCTATAGAAAATAAATGGGAGCATCGACGACGACTTACTGCAGCATCATTGTACACAACTGTCAACACCTGCAGTGCAACCGGTACTTGAGCCGGTGAAATAAGGATAAAAACGGTGGATTGGGACGAATCGTGAATCGTACCACTACGTATCTTAACATATAATAGAATGGTCGTCAACGTGGGAATATTGTCTTATAGAATGTGTAATCCATGATTAATTCCTCATCAGCAGAAATAACATCCTCACTTTCCTTAACATTGTTTTAATCACCGTGAAGGCTCCCAATGAGAAGCCTTCTTGCTCCATTTCGGGACACAAGTCAGGATCGAAAATGGAGCCCAACCACATTGGAATCATACTATATACAATCCGCTAAGTTTGTGTGTGTGTGTGTGTGTGTGTGTGTGTGTGTGTGTGTGTGTGTGTGTGTGTGTGTGTGTGTGCGTGTCTGCGTGAATGTTTGCCTGTCTGTATGTGTGTTTGACCGGAAATTCATAATTTTCTCCAAAACAGCGATAAAGCGCTCAAATTGATAAGTGATGTAGGGGGTCGGGCAGGAGCATTATTGGTGGGTGGCAGGCACCCACCAATAATGTATAACAACAGCTGATAAGATACCATAGGAGCCACATCAGCCACGAAATTCAGTGCCCGAGTTGTGGCACACTGGGGAACTTCTTCCATAAGCAATTCAGAGGTGGGTTAGGGAACACTGGTGGTGGGAGATAAGTGTGATATAGTGTGCGACAAGGGCCAGTTCCTGTTCGCTGCTTTACTCCGCTTGCGACTGATGTTGACCACCGTGGCCCATGAAATCAATGGGCAAAGGCTCAGTGTTTGTATCCTTTAGTGTTATAGTCGGAATTGACTCGACCGCTAAACTCTCGAGTTTCGACAGAAAGTAAAAGCTTAAAGATGTTCGTCAGTGGGGAATGATAAGGGTCACCAACAGACTGATATGTGAAAGCTGCTCAACGGAAGTATTATGATGTAAGCACATTTCACAGTGATTTCGATATTGTTACCTTTCAACCGCTGAGCCGTTCTATTGCCAACGAATGATCTGTATTTTTAGAAATCTGATAACCACATTGGCAATTGCTCATTGAAAAGAAGAAATATGGAAATATGATCAAATGGGCCCAATTTTGAAACATGAGAGTTAGGTCAAGTGAGGGGTCAGCACAGAAAGCGTGTCATTGGTCAGGACTACAGACTGAACCATGCGCGCGATAGTGCGCGTCAGCCGAACTGGTAAATAAACATTGCCTCATAGTGTACTGTTAGGCAGCGTTCAGAATTGTAGCGCCACAGTGTAGCGCTACAGCGTAGCTGGAGTTCGGTAACGCTTTTATGTTTTTTTTTCTGTATTCAACCCTCTTCTCTTTGTTTCTCATATTTATCTGATAGTGAGCTCCTGTTTTCTACTTTGTCACATTTTAGTGTGGTTTTTGATGCAGAAGACTGTGACAATTGGCTTTATTTATCGTTTTTGGCTTTAATTTTGGTTTCAGAGTTGCTACTGATGTTTGATGGCTTTGACTGATGTCTTGCAGTGGTGCCTCACGTTGACTCCGATGACGAAATTGTTTTACTTTATTCACACTTCAACTACATTAAAATGTGATAAAGTAGAAAACAGGAACTATCAGATAAATATGAGAAACAAAGAGGGTTGAATACAGAAAGGAAAAACATAAAAGCTGGAGTTCGGTACAACTGTGGCTACAGCTGTAGCGCGACGCTGTAGCGCTACAAGTCTCAACGCTGCCTTACACGCCGCATACTTCCCAGTTTGATAGGGACAAAAGAAAAAACGTCTATGCCATGGCTGGGGAGAGGGAAGGAGGGAGGGGGTTGACAGAAAGATACTGTGGTGGATCAAATTGTGGGGTAATGGAGAGATTCACGGGCACGTTCAGACATGGAAGCCGTAATCGACTATAGAAGACATTCCATTGAGAGTACGTCTTTGAAAGTTAGCTAAGCCCTAGTCAGTTCATTGTTCCAGGTAAAGTTCAAATTCGTACAGCACCCAATCTAAACTCCTACACATGTACTTTGTACTTGCGCGCGAGACCATATGAAGAAAGGAGTGGTCAAGGAAGCCGGGCCTACTGCAACGATAGCAAAATATACCAACACAGAGAGCAGTATACTCAACAGTGTCATGATTGTGAACAAATTTCGTGGCAAACGTGAAACGATTAAACAATGTGTTTTACTATGTTTCATAGAAGTCTATTGAATTATCTTATTGATAGGGAAGTTCTTAACCTGTCAACGAACGGGAAACAGGCAAATGTCAAGGAGTCACTCACATACTCACTGCGCATCGAATTCACTGAATGGGGGAGGTTGAGAACCTGGTGGATGGATTTTGCATACAGTTACTTGACAAGAGATCGCCCACGTGCCACGCACATTTACAATGTCCGAATTCCCATTACTTGATCGCTCGAAACAAATTCCAAGCCGTCTAGCAGCCATATTTTCTTGGTCATACATACTAGAAGTTTTGAGTCCCTTCTACATTTTGAAAGCTAGAAGCAGGTACAAAAAAAAATGTGGTTGTGCCTCAGGCTCTGGTTTGTGGCGACCCAGCACTCTGTTTTGGATTTTGAAAATTGACCAGTCTGACAAAAATCTGAGCATAATTGTATTATAACATTCATTATATTCTTAGCTTCTGACCCTAATACTGGTGTTGGAGAACAGATTAGATAGCCTAGAACAGGTGAAAATGCCTTTTCAACGCTTGCTCCAATTTTTTTCCGCGACTGTATGTGTACTTAGGTCAATATGATGAACGACTTAGCACAAGAGCTAAGCAATAGGAAGCGAGCGGCTTGGGGAGCTTTCAAGAATGGCGAAGAAAACGAAGAACACCACGCCCTGTGCCCACGTCTTCGATTCCGTGGTCCGTCCTGCTTTAACTCACGCCCTCAGAGAACTGGAGAGCATGCGTCAGCATCATTCAACACGCCGTCGAAAAGGCGATGCTCGGAGTTTCCCGCTACATGCAAGTGAGAAACAGAATCCAGAGCTCCGCACCCCACCGACCATCAAAGATCGGAGATGCGTCCGCATTCGCGATTTGAATGGGCTATCGCCTGCGCGATGGTCAGACTTCTTCGTGAAAGCTAACGAATGGCATCACCCTAATCGTGTCCCTCCAGCAGAGAGAACGTGGGGGGGCAGCTCTTGCATGAACCAACACATTACTGGGCCCGCTCGAGGAGCTCGATGATCAACGGAAGCATAAGTGATACAGGTAACTGATATTGTTCATTGATTATTTTGATATTTAGTCTTCCACACATCCTCGTCCTCTGCAGCACTGCTTCTGCTGCATCAGACTTAGCGGCTATGTACGACCCCTCCCCCCCCCCTTCTTGATGGATTTTGCACAGCGATGATGCACCATGCCCTTTCAGTAGATAGCAATTAACGGCCTGTTGGCAATGAGCCAAGACTAGTACCAAGCATTCTCTCTACCTGCACGAGTCTCACAGCAGTCTCGCAATCCAAAGTGTACGCAGTCGAAATGAAGTTAATAGCCACAGAAAAGAACTTGCGACTTGATGTAGGTGTAACTGCACTGATGAGCGAAGGTGTTTTTATGTCACACCATAATAAACAGGAAACTGATATTCGACTCGCGCTATTTTGCGAAATTCGGCACACCTCTCACAATGGGCAGTTGATACCCAGACCAGACTAGGTACTGCTGCAAGCTCCGCCCAAAAATCCCCACCAATTATCAGCGCGGTCACGGCCTTCAGAAATGTTTTATGAGCTCTTTTTTCAGCCTCTTCGACTTTTTTCTTTTTTGCTTATTTTACACACGCAAACACACACAAACAGACCTACATACACACACTTCACACGTATTGGTTGCGACACAGGTATGACTCCGCCCACATTCCAACAAAGTCACCGCAAGTTGGAATTTTTACAAGTTCTTTTTACGTCATTTTTTTCACATTCAACCTTCAAAAAGCGAACTTGCTCATTGCTAGGCACATATATACTAGCACACTGAGCCTCACCCCTCTGGCCACGTCCTTTTTTGCGCTTTTCGTGGAATTTTGATCTCTTCTCTAAAACTTTCGCTTTTTAGGCTATAACAATTAGCTTTGCTCGGCATTAGAAGCTCCGCCGACTCTTGAAAATGATATAGATCGGTAAGCTAGAGGCCGTACTTGCATGTTATGGACTTTCCTTTTCCCATCATCTAGAACGAAAAAGGGAAAAGTTTGTTTTGAAACGCCGAGAGAGGGCCGGGAGAGGCCATAACCTGCCAGTACCGACTCTATTCTGCCAACCGGATCATTCTTAAGAAGTGGGCGGGGCTTCTACAAAGTGGGTGGAACTCCTAATAGTGGGCTGAGGCTGAGCCACCTGTTACTGCCTCAAAAAGCGAAAATTTGTAAGAAAAGCTCAAAACTCCATGAAAAACGAACAAATAAGCGTAGCCAGAGGGGCGGAGGTTAGCGTGCTAACGTATAAAGGCAAGAGTATATCAGGTTTGTGAAGAATGAATGTGGGAAGAATGATGCCGAAAAAAGTTATAAGAATCCAAACTTGCGCCAACTTCGATAAAAAGCGGCATATCTGTGTCGGTACCGATGTCTTACAGCTGAATCTGGGTGTGTGTTTGTGTGAGATAGCAAAAAAGAAAAAAAACTCTAAGAAGTTCATGAAACAGAAGAACTGAAGAAGTAGTGGGGATGTTGGGGCGCGGCTTGATACTAGTGTGGTCTCGTTATCAAGTGAGAGTCGTGATTTGATTTGAAGAAAGTCCGCTGTGATTTTAGAAGTGACCGATTTGGTTTGAAAAGGCACCTGTTAGTGTCTCAAAAAGCGATACTTTGTAAGAAAAGCTCAAAACTCCGCGAAAAACGAAGAAGTAAGCGTAGCCAGAGGGGCGGAGGTTAGCGTACTAGTCTATAAATGCTTGTCTATGAGTATAATAGATTTGTGAAGAATGAATGTGGGAAGAATGGAGTCGAAAAGAGTTATAAGAATTCGAACTTGCGCCAGCTTCATTAAAAGCGGCATATCTGTGGCGGTACCGATCTTTTACAGCTGAAGTCTGGGTGTGTGTGTAAGTGTGTGTGAGAGATGAAAAAAAAGAAAAAACTCTAACCAGGGAAGGTCAACAGGTCGCCAAGGCTCAAGATGAAATGCATATCGACGTGTGCGTCTCAGGACACTGAACTCAAATCTGCTTTTAAAATTTGCCGAACGAGTTAGGGGGAGGGGGTGGTTGTAGCATAGTACTTGCCGATCCTCCTTTGTGTAGCTCAAGTTGAGTTCGAGTACAATCAGAAGCAAGCGGTCGATCGTGTAGT